CGGTGGGACCCAAATGAAGGAAAAGAAGGACCCGATGATCCTAGAGGACTTCTTCTCCTTCTCATTCTCCTCTTTATCCCTTCATTATGACCCGTGATTTCCCTTGGCCTATAAAAGGGAAAGCAGGGTGTCCCATAAGAGGCATCGCAACACATCGCATCAATTCGGACTGGAACCCATCAAACCCCGAACTGATCAGAACACACAAGCACCCAGCCGGGAAGCGACCGAGCTCTCGGCATCCGTTCGCTCCTCCTCATCAGAGACTTGGGACCCGTCCCTCTCTCGACCGTTTGTAACCCCTACTATGAACTTTCAGTGCTAGTAACATGAACAGCAGCAACGAATTGGATGTAGGGACATTCTGTCCGAACCAGTATAAATCTCGTGTCCTCTTAGCACACCATCCGAGCCAGACGCGCAATATTAGAAATTTACTAGTCGATGGCAACTCGAAACGTCGACATTGAGACACGGCATACTTGTTGTAACTTTTTGGAATAGTAAGCATGTAGATAGGATCTCTATCAAAATTAGCAAAGTCCACATCAACACTAGCATGTTCCCGTATGAAATTGTGTAGGACCATGGTAGCAGCAACAATCTTCGTTTGTGTGACCATTGAATAACCGGGCATCTTGTAAAGGATTTGCCATTTCATTTTTAATACTCCAAATGAGCGTTCAATAACTTTACGAACAGATGAGTGTATACATTTGAACTTCTCTTTTGGAGTATTTGGTTCCATACCTCGATGCCACTCGGGTAAGTGGTATCTTTCACCCTTGTATGGAGCCAGGTACCCCGGACGATTAGGATAGCCCGCATCTACAACATAGTACTTGCCTACACATATGTAAAACAAGATAAGTTTGTGCATACAAATATGAACAAGAACATAAGGAAAAATATTTACCTTGAGGAGGATGTGGGAAGACATATACATCTGCTTCCAATGCATGGTACAATACACTTGTGTCATGCAACCCGGTTGACCCGCAGCCACATAGGTGAAGCGCATTTCAAAATCACAAACGGCAAGCACTTCGCCTTCTTGCCACTTCTTTCAACAGGCCTTGCCAATCTCTTGCCACTCGCAGGTGGAGGAGAAATACCATTCTCCTCCTCTTGTGTTTCAGCAACAAAATCATCATCTTGTGACTCATCTTGTGTGTCATCAACATTTTCTGTTGCTTCAACATTCACAACATGAGGAGACCAATGATCAATACCAACAGTAGTGATGTCAGCAAAACACTTGGTTAATTCATCTTTATTCTCAAAGCCCTTCTTTTTAAACTTTCCACAACCCGGAATGTCCTGAAATAAGCAAAACAACACATATTATTATAAGTATTACCAATAGAATTGACATATGCAAAACAAATATATCTAAAAATTTTAACCAACTTACAGCTCTAGCTTTTTTCCACCATTCATCATCCATAGCAATAGTCTTCTTTATAGGGTCCCAACCAGTCCATGTTTGCCTCAGCATTAGTTTCTTCCATGCCTTGAAAATCTTCCTTTCACTTGTCCCATTTGTTCTTGATCTGACTCTTGGTAGCCACAATTCCAGTCCTATCTTTGAACCCTTTCTCAACCACAGCATAACCAAGTGCATTCAAGTGTGTGTTCGGCAAACAACATACAGAGCACCCGAGTGTTCATCAAGTTCCAATCAATTTCATGCATCTATCGAACTCACAAATTTCATATTAGAAGCCATTAATCTACTTCACTGAAATGGTACTATCCGTATTTCTAGTACAGAGAACAAATTTTGGATTGCAAAATATCTACTGTGAATCTAGGATTGCAGTATAGCACACAGTTCACTCCCACAAATCTAGCCTCTAATCATACTGTGAATCAATTTTTGAATCAAAACTGAAAAAATACCTTGTTCTACGGTCGGCGGGGGATGTCGGTGTTGGTGACGAGCGCTTCCTGGGGTGGCCTCCACTGGGAGCGGCAGATCTGCGCGTCCTCCGCGCCGAGGAGGCTGCCGGGGTTCACGGCCGGGTCGGGGACGTCGGAGCTGGTGACAGGCGCGGCTGGCTTCGTCGACACGCACTACTCACTCGCGCTCGGATTGACGGCGGCGGGGCTTGGATTGACGGCGTCCGGGAGGGGCTCCGGCGTCCGGCGGCGTGGGTGGTGGCGGCCAAAACCCTAGCGGCGCCTGTGCTCAGGAGAATAAGCGAGTAGTTGGCGTTGGAGAAAACAGGCGCAGGACGGAGAAAAACAGGAGCGGGGGGAGTCTCGGAGGAAAAGAACGAACCATATTTTTATGTAACCAGTGGCATTGGTGGATAATTACCCACCAACTCCACGAGGAGGTTCAAAAGAGGTGGTTCTGGAGTTGCAAAAGAGGTGCTCCAAAACTTCACCCCATTTGCACTATAGCTCCGTGGAGTTGGTAGCTCCAAGGAGTTTTGAAGTTGGGGTATTTGGCTGGAATTTTTGCTGGAGTTGCTGGAGTTCTGGAGTGGAGCCGTGCCAAACAAACCCTGAAACTGGTGCCGGAGCCGGAGCCGGAGCTGGATTCAAATCCACCATGCAAACTAGACTGTCTTTGGTGTCAAATGGAGTATCCGTCGGCTGATTCACCTGCTTAATTAACCTTCTTGTAATAATGGATGAATCATGGGCGTCGGGTGTCGATCGCAAGTACATACAGGGTAAACAGAAGATGCCAGGAAGGTAGTAGTGGAGTGGACCTCACCCTGAGTCTGAGTGGCCCACTCACAATCTCCTCACATACCTGCAGCACTGTAGCACTAGTAAACAGGCAGTCACAACTGACAAACCCAAGTGAAAAGGGAAGAGGGCCAACAGGACAGGACAAGCACAGTGAAAACAGTGATGAAGGAGATCAACCCTGGGACTGGGACTGGGATTGGGACTGGGACTTGTTGGTCGCTTGGACAGAGATGAGCTGCTCTTGCCTGCTGCCTTGTCCCGATCGCCGGGTGCGTGCGTGCATCGCATTGCCATTGCAAATGCATGCAGAGTCAGTTAGGTGACAACTCCTCCCAGCCCCCACTCTCGTTCAACTGGACCCCGACACGTCAGCAACTTCTCCGAGCCCACCTTAGGACCAATGGCGGATGCAGGAGAAGGAGGCTAGATAATAAAGATTCAAGGCTAGAACTAAAAATTAATAGTAATTTGAGACTAACTAACCGTAACCGTAGTCTAATAAAAAATCGGATTCACTGGGTCTGTAGCCCCGGCAGCCCCTCCTCTGTATCCACCCCTGCATAGGACTAGGGGAGCCGCCCAAGTAGTAGTAGGGAGGGGCAGGTTCGGCCGGACGGGAGCTGAGCTGCCCCTGCCCCGTTGCTGGGTGGTGGGTCGTCCGTAGTAACAGCAACCACAGCAAAAAGACTTGATCGGTTTGTTTATAAACCGTTTTTATTGATTTACATGGCTGATTTATTGGAGAGAAAAAATACTGATAAACCGGCTTGCCGGCCGGAGCTCCTCCGCTCCGCTTCCGCGTCCACGAGGCACGAGGTGGGTCTCCTCTGACCTCCGTTTCCGTTCCATCTTCTTCTGTTGGGGCGGGTTCGTTGCTTTGCTTCCGTTTCGTTCCGGGAAGCGTGCAAATCGCAGCAGAATCCTCCTCTAATTCTGGAGCGAGCGGTTCCGAGCTGCCGGAGGGAGCGGGTGTTTGCTTTGCTCGCCATTTTTCGTTTCAGAAACGCCCGCCGTGCGCGCGCGTACAAGCCTGGGATCTGACGGGTCCGGACTCCGGACGGTGGTGTTTGCCTTCCCCTGTTCTGTTCCCCACCCCTTGCACTGCTTGCCGCGCCAGCAGGAGAAAATTGAATATTTGACACCCAATTCGGAGGCCGGTGAACATTTGACATCAATTTGCGCGTCGTTAGAAAATTTAACACTCTGGCTGCGAATTCGTTGAAAACAGATGTTTTCTCCTCCTTTTCTTCATTTAACATTTTTTTCTTTTTTCTTTTGCTTTCCAAGGCAACATACCTTGGCCGTATCCATCCATTTCTTCTAAGAAACGAACGCATCTCTCTCGTACTCATTTTTCTTCGGCTCTGTTCGTCACGCCACCGCCATGGGTGCGGAAGAGGCACGCCGGGCCTTGCCTTGAGCAGATCGGCCGATCTTTGGATGGATGAGCCATGCATGCGTGTGCATGGACGGTTGTTGATCTTTGGCGCGGCGCTAGGCTAGCTAAAGTTCATTCTTCGTCCGCTTGATGATGGCCGTCAGTATGACCCAGAGGCGCCGCAATGGTCAAGCAACAGCAGGCCAAGGTACTTTGGTCATTCAGCGTTGCCTTGGAAAGCAAAAGAAAAAAGAAAAAATGTTAAATGAAGAAAAGAAGAGAAAACACATGTTTTCAACTAATTCGCAGTCAGAGTATTAAATTTTCAACGACACATAAATTAAATGTCAAATGTTCGCATGCGTCCGGTGTCAAATATTCAATTTTCTCCGCCAGCAACCCCCCCACACACACACACACACACACACACACACACACACACACACACAAAAACAATCCGCAGCGGGCCGCACTCGGACGGGCCCCGCCAGGCGCCAGGTTGCTCCGCCTCCATCCATTCCGAGTAGTACGACCCGTCGCCTCCTCCTCCTTTTCAATTTTCAAGCTTTTTTCACCACCGGTTGATTAGATTGCTTCTCTGTCGCTTGTTTTCTTTTCGTCGCGTCCTGTCTCCTGTGCTGTGTGTGATTTTCCTCTCGGACGCTAGCGCCGCCAAGGGCCACCACCGCTCCTGCACTGCACTGTACTCGCTCCGCCGCCCTCTCCTCTCTCCACCAGCAACCGGGCTGGCATTCAAGTTCAGTCCACACACACAGTGGGTGCGGGGCGAAGGAGCTGTGTGGTGTGCCATTGCCTTTGTCTCCTTTCTCATTCTTGTCTCACTCACCGGGAGATGCTCTGAACCGGCTGGCAGGCTGGCAGGAGCGAGGTCGTCGTCCCTGCCGCTACGAGCGCGATGACGGACGCCGCCGCGGGCTCCGGCCTGCAGCTGCAGCCGTCGGAGAGGCCCGCCAGGGGAGAGGGAGCGGGTGCGGTCGTCGTGGTGGCTGTGCGCGCCGCCGCAAGGGAGATCTCCAAGACGGCCGCCGTCTGGGCGCTCACGCACGTCGTCCAGCACGGCGACAGCATCCTGCTGCTCGTCCTCATCCCGCCGCGGACCTCAGGTATGTGTATGCATTGCATATTCACCCCCTGTTCTTCAGTTTTTCATTCCTACTGCAACAATTGCTCTGTACCGGCCTCTGTCTTTCAAGCACTGCAGTACAAGTGTTTGTTACATTTACTCACACACAAGCAGTACCACAGTGCCATTAACCTGTCTGTCAGTATGGTCTGGATGTATGTACAAATAATTGTAATAATTACTCTATGGTTTGCATACACATGTACAGCAGGTCAGCAGCTAAACTTTCAAATGTTCTGTCCTTTTCAAGTGTTCTTTCCTTCTCCCTTTTACTTTTTTTTCAACGAATTCTCTCTTTTATTAGGCAGGAAGTTCTGGGGCTTTCCGTTCTTCGCTGGGAACTGCGCAAGTGGTCACAAGGCAGTGCTGAACCAGAGGTCGGATGTTGCTGAGCTGTGCTCTCAGATGATTCGAAAACTTCGCGATGTATATGATCCCAACAACAAGGTCTGGATAGCATCCTGTCGCCCACTTTTGTCGATTCAGAATCTCAACCGGCTGGATTTCTTACTTGGTTTGGTCACCGTTTGTGTTTGTTTAGACAAATGTGAAGGTTAAGATCCTCTCTGGATCACCTCCTGGTGCCGTGGCCACTGAATCCAAGCGGGCTCAAGCAGGCTGGGTTGTGCTGGACAAGTAATGTCACACATTAACTCTCTTCAGTGTTTCATATGCCGTCCTGCTGTTTTTGTCTCTTCTCTTGCAATGCATATACATCCCTTTCCTTAAGCACAGGTGTTTGGCATCTTGTTCAGGGAGCTGAAGCATGAGGAGAAGCGCTGCATGGAGGAGCTGCAGTGCAATATTGTGGTTATGAAGCGCTCTCGGCCCAAAGTTCTACGGCTGAACCTGGTGGGATCGCATGAAAAGGAGTCCAAACCAGCTCCTCCGGCATCACCTGAGCCAAGTACGTCAGTTGGTAACACCGTGAGCAATACCAAAGAGCAGCGGAGTCCGATTCGAGTGCCATCTGTGACACCTAACAGCAGCCCGGAGTCAGAAGCGCCTTTTGACACAACTGATGTTGGAACGTCTTCTGTCTCAAGCTCCGACCCTGCCGCTTCTCCATTTTGCGCTTCGGATACGAATAGCTCTTTGACGAAAGAGGCAGCCAAGGATAACATCCAGCATTCTGATGTCAATATATCTGACTCTGAGAGTGAGGCTTCAACTCCTCTGCCAGCCTCGTCCCTTCAGCCATGGATGGCTAACATTTTACAGGGGCCTGCTTCTGCTAGACTACTAGGAAATCGCCCTAGAAGGACACCTACTGCAGATTCTTTGCTCGAGAAGATTGCCAAACTGGATCTCTTGACTGAAATCAACGCAATCAGAAGCAGGTCTGACTTGAACTTCAGAGGCAATGTGAGAGATGCTGTCTCACTGTCCAGGAGTGCACCTCCGGGACCACCGCCTTTGTGTTCTATATGTCAGCATAAGACGCCTGTATTTGGAAAACCACCTCGGTGGTTCAGCTACGCCGAACTGGAGCTTGCAACTGGCGGCTTCTCCCGAGCAAATTTCTTGGCTGAAGGTGGGTTTGGGTCTGTTCACAGAGGTGTCCTTCCGGACGGCCAAGCAATTGCTGTCAAGCAGCACAAACTTGCTAGCTCCCAAGGCGACATCGAGTTTTGCTCGGAGGTGGAGGTTCTGAGTTGTGCGCAGCATCGGAATGTTGTAATGCTGATTGGTTTTTGTGTTGAAGATAAGAGGCGTTTACTAGTATATGAGTACATCTGCAATGGCTCACTAGATTCGCATCTTTACGGTAAGCATTTTGCATTCCAAAAACTTGGTGTATCAACTTAACAGGAAAAATAATCTCTTTCTGCTGTCATATTCTTCCTTGGATTTCTAATGATGACCACACCGTGCCAAAAGGGACTAAAATATTTCTTCTGAGTATAATATTTCTGAAGTCTGAACTATTTGTTGTGCCCCTCTAGATCGTAACAAAGAAACTCTGGAGTGGGCTGCCAGACAAAAGATTGCAGTAGGAGCTGCCAGAGGTCTGCGATACCTCCACGAAGAATGTAGGGTGGGTTGTATAATCCACCGTGACATGAGACCAAACAACATCCTTGTCACACACGATTTTGAACCACTGGTATGGCCCCTCTCGTTGTCATGCTTATTTATTACCCTGAAATTTACTTCTACTATTATGTGAAAATTGGGTTGCTATGAAATCTTACCAGTTGACTAGATCATGCTGTGTCTGAACAGCCATGCTTTAAGATGAACCGTAAAATGAGCATCAGGTTGTCTTGGTCTGCCACAACACGTTGATTTATTGTTTTCGTTTTCCACGGTAGTCACTATCATGGTCAATCAATCTTAGTTATCATATACACATACTATAAGTTGTGTCAGATTGAATGATTTTGTTCCCATCGGCATTGCCAGTTAATCTTTGTTTCCCACTTATCCTAGTATGAGATTGTGAACTTTACTTTTGATATCATGACAGGTTGGAGATTTTGGCTTGGCTAGGTGGCAACCTGATGGGGACCTGGGTGTTGAAACAAGAGTCATTGGCACATTTGGGTAAGTTTTCAGATGTACAACTTTGCACTCCTTGGTCAGTTATGACATGTGAAATTCTGCAAATCTGAGCCTCTGTTTTATTACTATGCACAGTTATCTGGCACCCGAATATGCTCAGAGTGGGCAAATAACTGAGAAGGCAGATGTCTACTCGTTCGGGGTTGTATTAGTGGAACTTATAACTGGACGCAAGGCTGTTGACATTAACAGGCCGAAGGGTCAGCAATTCTTAACTGAATGGGTGAGTTTAGCAGTTCACCTACATTATGCTTTTTTTTCTATCAAATGAATAATGTTGAACTGAGTATAACTGAGTGCTCATAGTTTAGCTGTTGAACTAGTTTTGTCTGTGGAGTTGGTGACTCGTATCTTTGTCATATCAGCAAATGAATAATGTTTTTCTAGCAATCAAATCAACTAGCTCGGAACTGTGATTGATATTTCTCTCATTCGTCATTATCAATGCATCCAAAATGGAAGCAAACAAATGAAGTTTTCTGTTTTAGTAAGAATCAATGCTGCGCCTGCCTTATGTTCCCCATTCATTTATATTTCCGTCGTCTGTAACAGGCTCGGCCTCTGCTGGAAGAGTATGCGATCGACGATCTGATTGACCCTCGCCTGGGGCGGCACTTCTGCGAGAACGAGGTCTACTGCATGTTGCACGCAGCAAACCTGTGCATAAGTCGCGACCCTCATCTGAGGCCACGCATGTCCCATGTTAGTCATTCTCCGCTATCATCACCGACTTAGTAGGGATCTTGATACTGGCCGGCAGCCTATCATGCTCACGCCTTGTCTCTTTTGGAATGTTTCTGAAGGTTCTGCGCATACTAGAGGGCGGCGACATGGTGGTGGATTCAGGCAGCGATGCGGGGAGCAGGAGCTGGCGTCTGCAGAACGAGCGGTGCCAAGAGCAGAGCAGCCCAGCTCAACGTGATGCGCAGTCACAGACCGCGGGAAGCCCATGGAGTCGAGATCGGCAGAACTTGTCTCACAGATACTAGCATTCGTAATCCCTGTGCAGGATCGCCGCCGTGGAATCTGTATCATTCCTAGCTTAGCTAGTCCTTTCTGAGTAGCGGCCTCTTCTTCCTCTTCCTTGTTCTTTCTCCATGGCGCCTTTTTTTTGTGTTATTATAAGTCGTGTGTATAGTGGTGGAGATTGTAGTGGTAGTGGTACGCTCACATTACATTACATATGATATTACATATTGTCATGAGCTATGGATTGTTTGTGGATCACCACGTGTCTAGAAGGTCTAAGGACAACATGGGCACTGAATGATGGGTCATGCGAGACGATTGTTAACATTACAGTGGTAGGCTCGCATTACATTACGTTACATATTGTCATGGGCCATCTCGGAAGATTGAGCCATGTTGGAAGATTGTTCACCTGTTCTTGCAGACCTTGCGGCCACTTTGGTTGGTGGTCTGGGATTGCTGCCTGGGCCAGGCAACATGTAGCCCCAGGCCACCAAAAATGGACATCAAGGTCTGATCCAAACAGACTCTGCATACATCATTCTGTTTGGTCCGTGCCTGCCATGCGCCACTTGGCCCAAGCAGCTATATCAGACGTCCGATTTGGGGCTGGGTGGCCGCTGCCTGGCCGTGGCTCCTAGCCTGGCTAGGGTCACAACCAAACAAGCCTCGATGCGTGCATGCATTTTGGCTCAACGATAATGTTATGAAATATGAATGATATAACGGTAATGCTACAAATAAAATATTTATATGGTCAGCTTAATAATTTATTTTTCCTGATTAACCATAGTCAACACCGTGCCAAAATTTCATCATGCACTTTCTTTAACGGTAATGCTACGAAGCGGGTGTCTGTTCGTCCGGCCGGACCGCTCCGCGCGCCCTGCCCGTGGTCTGCTCCGCGCGCACCGCGCCCCACACGCCCGCGTTGTTGCTCGCTCCTGCCCACGCAGATTCGCCTCGGCCGTCACGTGCCCCGCCTGCTGCAACCGTCTCGCAGGGCCGCGTCCACCACGCAAGTTCGCCGCACCGCCCGCCTTTGTTGTACCGAAAGCGTATATATGTTGTAAACATATGTGTCAATGTTTCAGATGTTCCACATGTATGTTGCAAGTGTTTTTATATGGTTGTTGCAAAAATAGATCTAGATGTTGCATACGTTGCAATAGCTATACACGTATGTTGCAAGTGTCTATTCAAATGTTTCATCTACTTCAGACGTATGTTGCAATTGTTTTATCTAGATGTTGCATATGTCGTAGTGGCTATACACATATGTTGCAAGCGTGTGTTTCAAATGTTTCATCTTCTTCAGACATATGTCTAGGAAGTGCTTTCATGTTGCAAGTGTTTCATGAGCAGGCGCAGGCGGTCCTCGTGTGCGCGATACGGATGTTGCAAAAGCAGATCTAGATGCCGCATATGTTATAATGATTATACATATATGTTGCAAGTATCTATTCAAAATGTTTCATCTACTTCAGACGTACATTGCAAGTGCTTTTTATCTAGATGCTACAATGGCTATACATATATGTTGCAAGCATATGTTTCAAATGTTTCATCTTCTTCAGACGTATGTTACAGAAAGTGCTTTCATGTTGCAAGTGTTTCATGAGCGAACGCAGGCGCAGGCGGTCCCCGTGTGTACATGTGTTTCATTTCCATACAAGGCCCATATATAGTTGGATGTTGCAACGTTAGTTAGGCAACAAAATAAAATGTAATCTACATAACCAACCTTTAACAAGAGAGGTCGATGACGCCATTCGTCAGTGAAAATGGCATAAGGTTACTATGCTCTCATTGTTTTTTGCTGTTTGCAAATTTTCTTGACATCAACACAACGAATAAACATGATCCAAGCACCGACTTTAGTCTCTGTACCAGGCGCAACAGCAGACTAGGCGCATCAGCAGAGCAGGCAACAGCAGGAGCGTGTAGCAGACGTGGGCTGGCGGTTTGGCACAACAGCATGCACTAGCGTTCGGATGTGCGCGTCTGTCCGGACATCCGGCGCTAGCCTAGCCCATGATATAATGGATTTTTCATTTTGTACACGAACACAATTGCTTTTTTGGAAAGGAAATCAATTTCTATTAATCAGACGAAGCTAAATCATCAACAATTACAAAATGTATATCCGCCGGTATGGGAGCGAAAATTTGATCTTCATTCGGATCAACAACATTGCCTAGAATAGCCAATTCTTGAGCTACCCTTTTGCAAGAGCTAGGGCGCTGCTGAGCTCGGCATAAAGTGAAGTTAAAGGCCAGAAGACTACATAGCTCCTCGGCAAGGTTGGTCACTCTGGACTCAAAGGCATTGGAGTAGACCACTTGCACAACCTCGACATCATCCGTCTCAATAAAAACATACTCATGCTGCCATCGCGGCTTGGACAACTTGGATGCAGGCGATTAGCTCGCCATGTAGCGAGTTCACACCAGAACCTCCGTTCTTCCTCAATGTGCTATAACAACGTCACCATCCGCATCTCTTAGAACACAACCCTAGCCGCCATTACCCGAAGCAGGATCGTAGACCACATCGCAGTTAACCTTGATGAGGCCTTGCTCTAATTTCTCCCATTGGCATACCCTTCTATCCCGGTCCTTGCTATGTCTTTCTTGCTTCCTCCATTCCGACATGCGCACTTGGATACTATGAGAAAGCCACACTAGGTCTCTCCCTTGTTCACCTTCTCTAATTCTATTCCTTTTCGATCAACAAAGCCAGAGCTGCTCTTCCTTCATCACCATTACTGCCTCCAAAGCCTCCCTTGCGGACGATTTCATCAATAATAAATAACTCTCCCAGCTTATTCCCAGGTAACTCCACACCTTCTCCATTGTTTTGCATATGAAGAAAAGATGTGCCCCATCCTCATCATTGAAACGATGACACACCACACATCTAGTGTCGAGCTCCATACCCCTCCTTTTGAGATTCATCAGGAGTGGGTGAATATTACGCCAAAACATCCACAAAAAATGCTTCATTTTGTTCGCTCATTGGGTGTTCCGGATCTTCTTCCATAATGACTCATATTGGACAATCAATTCGCTCGAAGATGAAAGCCTTGCCTGGCACCCGTGAGTGGAAGCTTGAAGATGTGTCCTGCTTACCTACAATCACCTCGCCTACGTCAACTACTTCGCTTACTTCGACTACATCAAATGTCTTCAGCGAAGGCTCAATTCTAAAAAGAAGGCATCAAGGGCTCAAGACCATACGAAGGAGCAAGCTGCCAAATACAGGGTCGTAGAGATTTGAGCGAGATTGCAGAAGACTGGACAAAGACAAAGTCATCTCCAAACTATCTTTATATAGAGGAGAGTCGTGTGATGGGTCTGAGTTGTACTTGGGCCACACTCATTTGAATTCAGCTATTGAGTCTTGTATTCCTGATCAAAACTAAATACCTAAGAGGCTACTGTTGGGAGTGTATTATATGTTGGGGATCCCATTAGAGTGTCCACACCCAATTACATAGCCAATGAGCTTGTGAGGTAGTGTTTAGAGCTCATTTGTAGTCCTTAGAGGTTTTTTTAAATACAAGCCCCACATGGAGAAATAATGAAATCCTCCTCTATAAAAGGGGAGGGGGAATGTGAGAAGGGGTCTCAGCTGCTCACTCATACGGATTTCCTTCCCTTTCTCCGGTCCTTTCTATGTTTGGTTGCAAAACCAGCAACAGGTTTGCTTTTCCCTAGACCATACAAAAATCTTGTACTAGCTGTTTAGCCTTTATAAGTACATAACCCATGTCCAAGAATCCATTTTTTACTATCACTGATGGTGTAGAGGCTAGAAGCTCTCTCTCTCTCTATGTAGTTTGCATCAATAACACCGTACCAAACAAAATATCTAATATGATCTTCAATGTGTTTGAAGTACTTTTTTTACTTCTTCATCAGAATTCGATGTTATTCCCTGCATTAACATATGTTACATATGAAAAAGAGGATAACGAAAATGAAATTTAACTTAATAGAATAACATAGGGAAAAAGTATCTTAAAATATTCTATTCTATTCCTCTTGTCTAATTCCAAGGCTCGAAGTCAGATAATAATTTAAAAATCTAAATGACCTGATCTCCTTTGTTTCAACATTTGTGACTTTGTAAATAAAATTATATTTTAGAATTTATTACAAAAGATTGCTAGCAAATTAAAATAAAAAAAATAATCTTATAGAGGTATGTCCTGAAATCTTCTAGAAACAATGACATACTCGATTTCCCCCTCTGTAGTAGAGAGTCAATACATGATAGTACTACATAGTTTTTCAATGAGACATGAAGTGGTGTCTCATTTTGATTATTTCTTATGTTTATATCAGCTCGAGTACCAGCAGAACCTTGCATTCACTAAATCCTTGTGTTCACTAGTTCGGCGTCATTCATCCTAGCAGTGATGTGGAAAGGGCTCTGGTCCAAATCATCCTTACAGGAAAAAAATCAATACCATGTCTAAGCAATGGTTCTACTATGGTTTTACCTGGTCTACCCTCTGGCAAATACAAATATCACACTATTAGAATAAAACATGTCCAATTGATAAAGAAAAATGTATCATCATTCATCATATGTAGTATATGACAACCACGTAAGATACACACAGGCTTATGATCAAATGTAGGTATTATTTATTTATTAAATACAACATAAGCAAAGTGAATGATTACCTTTTTATGCCATTGTTTAAAAGAAACTACGAAGCACAAAGCTCCTCCATCGCCAAGGTTAGCTCCTGGCTCAAGCAATTTCTATACGGCACATAAAAAACTAATAAATACCTACGTAACTCATACAAACATAATTTAAAAATAGTTTGATGTATCTCTAAATCCACTAATAAGCCCTTTTCTCATACTAAAAGCACTTCTCTCTTTAAGGGACATCACTAGCTCCATCAGAATCATCTTCTCCTAAAAGCCCTCAACACATCCATAGTCTTCGCCACCATCTGCAGAAGGAATTTCATTTTCATTTGTGGGCAACTCACGTATCC